ATAACTACGACCAAGCGTTTTTCAAATTTACGCCAAAACATTGCGTTACGTTTCAGAAGGTCTGAGGAAACGATATACTTGCATCGTCTGTTGTACGTAAAGCTTGTTTGCCCACGGAATGTAAATTTGTGATTTTGATTTAAGGGCCGTGGTACATTGAAGAAAAGCCTTACGATGGCCGCAGAAGGGTACCTCGATTCACTGAACACATGGGTCCCGGAGAGCGATATCTTGGCGTTCAAGACCGCTTTCTACTGCACCCTGTTCGGTGTGTTCACTTGCGTCAGCTTCGCGGCTCTGCTCTCCGTTTACATGCTGTTGCGTAACTTCCTGAAGCCGATCTTGTGGGCCGTAATGTGCGGCTGTGCCCTGTTCCCGATGAAGAAGGGTCTTTCGAAGATCCTCACTTCCTGGCTGAACGGCCTGAAGGAAAACAACACTCCGTTGCTGTTGGGCGTCGTTGTCGCCCCTCTGAAGATCATGGATCGTTGTTCGTCGTCACTTGTCGACCTAGTGCTGAAGAAGTCGATCATGAAGTTGATTCTGGCATGTGTCCTAGTACGATACCTGTTCGCAATGCTCACCTACGACGCAGTCTTGACAATGGCAACGTGGTCATGGGCCTTTTTCGATAGCATCATCGACTTGGGATCCAGTTCTTGGGTAGGTGCGACGGTGGACTTATGTCGGTCGGAATTATCATCTTCTTCACGACCTTACCGCAAGCCAGCGTTCTAACAAATAAAAATGTCAGTGCATACCTTTCCTAATAACGAACCGGACTCCGAGTCGAAATATTGTAGGTAGTAACCGCCGAATGGATAGTTGAGTGGGAATTTAGCACCACTACATAAAAAGTTAAGTAGAAAACTAAGCTATAGCAGATGCCTATCTGTGGACATTGCCTTCAAGAAGTAGTATGCTTGGATGCTGACATCGAAACAGATATCAGAGCGCCGTACTAGGTTTATGAGCGAATGTAAATGAGATCGAAAATCCAGGGCTTGCAAACTGTCGTTCTACCGCAATTGGTACGATAGTTAAGACCATGTATGATTATTACTGCATACTCGCAAAGTAAGCTTTCTCAGCCAACTTCTCGGCCATCATCCTTACAGTGATCTTAGTATACTTTGGGAAGGTATGCATTGGTTTTATGGAAGCGAATAGCGGAAAGTTTATAACCGTTGGAATGCCGATTTTCCTTGCACCTTCATGATGGTACCATTTTGGATGCCCTTCCTTTCATGAAGTTAATGGTAAGGGCATTGATCTCCCTTTTCAGGCCATCAGTCAGGAGCGCGTTATTTTAAAGGCAAAATCGTTAGCGGCTACATGGCAGGCATAGTCTCCTGTTTCTTTCCTTTCTCTTTGTCAAAGTCTGAATGAAGAAAGGGGAGTGAAATCGTCCGATGCTAGAACCCGGAACCTCTGGATTTTCTAAATCCGACGTTCTTCCGACTGAACAACCAGCATCTCTTGTTTTACGAGATTTTGTCATTAAGCCTTCTTATTGTTTGCTTCGAAACCGGGGCTCTCCATCCACGAGCTTCAATAATCTTCAGTCGTTAAGGGTTCACTATGGTCTGTCATAAACGGGTGTATGCTAAGACATTGTTAAATGACTGCAGGATCAGGCTTGCTTTTTGGTCAACCCATTGTTTTGATTATGATAATATCTGCTCAGGTGACCGATAATGTCCGTTTCTGTGGTTGATATCACGAACCCTGTTTGTGGAAGAATTTGGCTTAATGGTAAGTTTTGTTTAGAGCATAGTTTTGGCTGCCCTTCTCGGAGTTGGCTGTGTCTGCTGCTTCCTGTTCGCTCGTGACTTCAACAAGGATCTACTTCGATACACGTTTTTATCCACATGGTTCGTCGCTTTCTGCGCTTTCGTGAAGTTGTTTTATCCGGTTCACATGTTGGTCGCGTTTGTACTGATCGCATTGTTGTTGGTCATGAAGATGGATATCAATTTATCCTGTAAAACTTCGGCTAGCGGAAGTAAACCGTTCCTCTGATCGACACCACTTTTGTTTACAGTCTTTTCCGTTCCAAAATCGCCCACAAAGTCCAGTACACCGCCGGTGAATTTTTCGGACTACTGCATGGAGATGATGCTCGGCGTTTCGATCATAATGTTTGTGATCAAGCATCCGACGTTGTTGGTGGTTTTTGCGCTGTTGCTGTTCTACGGCATGTTGAAACGAACCGGTATGATATTTGTTTACAATTGATTCCAGTTGTTGTTTCTGCGTTTCTTCGATGATCACAACTTGTTTAAGGTATCTTCGGAAGCGTGTGGATACGTTTCACTTCACTGCTAAATTTGATTACCGAGTTTCTGAAACGACGGCAGTTGAATGATTTCCCAAATGTTTTTGTGCCCCGATCTGTGCGCATGTTGCTGAGATTATTTTTCACCGGCAACCTTCGGGTAAACGTTGTTCGCTGTGTTGTACGTTTTAGTGGAGGAAACTCTTCAGATCATTGAAATTACCCAAGGCTCGGTGGATCTCATTGCAACCGCCACTGTCATCGTGATGCTTTTGGTATCTGCTTCGCTTTTGGGTGCTTTCCTTTTCGTTCAGGTATTTTTAATACTGTTTAAGTGTAGCAGTGGAATAGTGCCCGTCATATCTTTTCGCAACATTTAGCTAACACTGTGTGCATGATGATGCATGCTTTTGTTGTCATAATAGTTCCTTGTCAATGGAGTAACTTTTAAATGCTCGACTTCTAAGTTTCTTTTTCAAATGTGACCGCGAAAGAACTCATTCGTCTGGCATGGTGGATTTCACAAAAGCATATAAAATATGGGAATATCAGATTGTAAGAACAGCACAGTCATAATCCTAAGTCCAATCATTCCTGTTTTCGCAACGCCTGCGCAATCTGGAAGTATTCTTAAGCTTCTGTTGATTGTTTGCACGGCAGATCTTTGGTTTTGTCTGCAAATCATCGTCAAGGTACGGTAGCACTTCCGGGTCAATCACGAAAGCGGAGTTTCTCATGAACAGCAGAATGAAAAAACTGTCATAAGAAGTCCCCTTACGTCGTTTATGAAGGCAGCCCAAAAGGAGAACGGAAATGTGCCTGTAGCGTTTCGCTTGAAACGGAAAAAGAGAGGTAGCATACACCTTCTGATTATTACACTGAATAGTCAAATATCAGAGTATCAGATAGGTCAAGACAAAGCGCAGCCTCAAGAGGATTTCGCATCAAACAGCATTACCTCATCTTTCACCCATTCTGATATGATTACGCTAGAACATCAGGCGATCCTGTTCGAAAGTCAATGATCTCAAACCCGTTTCTCGGCTAGTTGTACCGAAGGAACATGTGACGAATTGTTTGCTGAAGGGAAATGAATTAAGGCATTTTTTCAGAGTTCAGAGCCGACCTCTTACCATTGTGTCATCGTCCCCAAAAGATTCGAAAAATGTGGAATTCGTCCACCGATTAGGGACGTTGGATGAGCAGTACAAGATGGGAAAACACTTTATCATTTATTTGCTATGATGAATATGACGTGTATCTAGCATAAGTCTGGGATACCATTTCATACTGGTCAGACAGGAACTCTGCTGTTTAAGATCTGTTCGCCCCAGATGACAGTAACAAGAATGTATTGTGAAAGGGATACTCAGTTTTGAAGTACTACAAATAAATGTTTATGTAGTCTTGCAAAACTCTGAATATTCAACACTGAGCTTGAAAGGGAGTTTTTAATCATTCTCAGTATTTGAACTGTGCATATATGTTATATACTGCATTTGATATTTTTTGCATATACTATATACTTTCTTCGTTCTATAATTTTCCTTCAGGACGAGTCGCTAACGTATTCACGTGCATGGTATTGCTGTGTAACAAGGAGTACTTTATAGCTGAACAACGAAATCGTACACATTATTACGGTGATGGGCAGCATTACGCAGCAGAACGGCAAACTCTCGGAGCTGGTATCGAATTTTCTGAAAATGCAGGGTAATGAATCGCTGGCTGACAGTGTATATCTTCATTCCCGAACGTGGCTGACTGCCCAATCACGCAACCTGGCTGGCAAAGATGATTTGGAAAAGGCAGACCTCATAGAAAGCCATGTCAAAATGTTACTCGACAAGCTCTACATGAGATTCAACTCTGGCTCTGAGGCATATCCGACAAAGCAGGACGTAGCGATGCCAAATTTCTGGAAGTTTCTTACGTCCTTGAACGTCATGGACATGATCCAGGAAAACTTGAACCTGCTCAGTTCGGTTCGTACCGCCAAGACTCGCAACGAGTAGACTTAAAACTATTGGTTGCTTACTGCTTGCAGGTCATGCAGACCGCCTGGCTGGTCATCAAGGTCAATATGGATATCGCCTTCATGTGCTTCAGTACGATGTTCACGTTCATAATCGACCTTGGGTTCGACATCGTCCGTTTTTTGCTGCAAATTGTAAACGATATATCGATTGTTCTTTCCATCACGCCGCTTTTTATAGGTGATTTTCCTCACTTGCTTCTGTTACCTGCTGGCTTTCAGTGGTAATGAGTTCCTTCCCCTCGAGTGGGCACTCAGTCTTATTCCGGTGATACCCGCGATCCAGTCGAACAAGTATCTTCTGCTGAAAGCGGTTCAGCGTTCGGTCAGGTGAGCAGGAGTAACACCGTCACATATCAGAATTCTTGCGAACGTAACCCTTATAGGAAGGTATTCATCATAACGTTCAAAATGGCAACATTCTATGGTTTTTACCTGTGGTTTCTGTATTCACTGTTTGACTTGACCGTCAGTGTCATTCCTACAGGTCAGTACTTACTGCTGAAACCGATGATTAGCTTCACAATTCCCTGCAAAAGGTACAGCCCAGGACAAAACTTTGTTGCTCTGCTTTTAGGCTATAATGTTCCTTTTCTCCAAACATCTTTTTAAATTCGCCATAAATTCCAAAACGCTTGAAAAATGGGGCATCAGCATGTAATATTGAGGTATATCGTTGGTATTCTGCCATGCTTAAGAAGACAAGAAGTTAACGAAGTTATGCCATGCTACGATTTGTCTCTGCACTCGTGAACTCCAAAGCTGAACCATTACCGTATGCGATACTACTCCTAGTTTGCTCCTCGCATTTGTTTACTGCTACTTTTCAAAGGAGTCTGTTTACCTAAAATATTTTTAGTCAGTGCATCGGTGCTAGCCGCTGTTCCGTTTGTCGCACCGTACTGGGCGTGTCTGCCCGGGGTGTTGGAGTTATGGCTGATTAAGGGGAACAGCATCCTGGCGATTGGTCTAGCCGTGTCGTCGTTTGTACCGTCGTTCATCGTTGACCCGTACTTTTACGAAGAGCTCAAGTACAATATTTGCCGCGCCTTTTTGTGAATAATTACTGGTCGTTATTTTGTTTTATTTTTTAGTGGATCCCATCCGTACCTGACGGGTTTGTCGATCGTTGGAGGCCTATACTGGCTGGGCTTCGAAGGAGCAATTTTTGGCCCGATACTCTTATGCTGTTTGTTTTCGCTGGTCAACATCTGCAGGGACGTCGTTGCTAATACATAATCACAGGCAGACTGATGTGTGTCAAATGACGTGTCCTAAACCGTACAAGTATTGTGGCGTACTTTTGTACACTGCTATCTGACCGTTCTTCGCGTTGTCCTTTACATGATAGTATTTCATTTTACGGCTTTCCCATATCCATGTGTGCATGCGTAGCTTATTAGCATAAAACGCGAAAACTTGTGTTTATTGACATGACTAATTTACTGTTGCGACCGTCTATCGCCAACAAAGATGAACTTCAACCGTACTTCGATCACAGACTGAATGATGGACAACGATGTTACTGAACATCGCTCGCTTCGACTTGACTTATCGAGAATAAATTAAGAGAGAAAAACAGTCGGTCAGTCAGCTGAATCGCCGTTTCTTCGGTACAACAACAATAAGAAGCGAAGCGAACAGAAATGGAACCGCTTGCATTCGTAGAGCGGAAAACGATGACCACCACCAGCACGGAACCAGGCAGCGAAAAACTCGGCGATCAGTAAATATCAGGACACATGTCGAAGCTCTGAGTGTTCTTCGCCTGCCAGTATTTACCGTTAAACATATGGGTGACGCTTCCGGTCCACGGGTCTTTCTGTTTCGTGAACCATATCGGTTCATGATGCTTATAAGGGCGACCTAAAGACAGATTTTACAAATCGCAAAGTACACTATATTCTAGGAGTTTACAGGTAAAAATGATTAACAGCAAGTATTATGCCATAAAATGGTATTCGTGTGTCGGTTTCCTCCAGTTTCTGTGTGCGTCTACCTGTGATGCTAGCTTCCAGAATGTTCATCTTTGTTTAAATGGTTGCTTTGGTTTAATTTTGGGCAGTTAGGTTCAATTCCGGTGTGTAAGGCAGTTCTTCGGTATGCTACCATGCGGCAGAGTTATTTTCATCCCATTTACTGATGTACTCGTATCATGTCTGAGCCCTTTGTCAGTTTCCTATTTCTAGCTATCTCCAATTTATGAAAAATACTTTTGCTGTACAACAGGCAACCTAGTTTGTTTAGAATTTTATACCATATCTACAATGTGTCTGGTCACAAACCCTTCATTGTAATAAAATGCGAAACAGCTTTACAAGAGGAGAATTATACAGACCGCAATGTAGTCTGAGTTTTAACGAGAATAAAGTTTTTCCGTTAGCAGGTAGAGCTTCACGATTTGTATTCGTGTTATTTTTCGACCCTGAAAGCATCTGCACTAAATGTACAAGGTGCACAGCGGATGAGATGTTACTATGCTCCTTATGCGTAATCTCTTGTGGAAATGGTGATAAACCAAACATACCCTCGAGCATGGCAGCTTCTGCCTCGATTTCGCGACTTTTGTAAACGGTACGCTGCTTCTCTTCTAGTCTCAGCTTTTCGGCATTCGCCTCGTCGAACTTGCCTTCCTCCATCAAGCGTTGGTCGGGCCTCAGACGAGAGTCGGTTGGAGCCACACCGGCTTCCGGCTCATTCAGTTGAACAGCGAACAGCGTGAAGTTATAGAAGTTTTCACTGCCAGGCCTATCAATGCATGCATAAGTCATCACAGAAAGGAGAAACAACACACACGATACGTACAGATGCGGATGGCGCTTCCAGATCACCTTCGGCGATAGCGTCTCGAAGATAGGCT